GTAGCTGTGGGTGGGTGTTCTGATTGGGGTGAAGTGAAGGCGAGCGCGGGAGTATTGTAGTTGTCGGAGGATGGAGCAGGAACTCTTCTTGGGTTCTGAACACACAAATCGACGTGTGCGATGCGGTGACGAGGTAGTGTGATTTCTTATGGTGCATGGTTGCGGTGTGTTTGGGTAGCATGATGATGGACGCCCTGGCTGTTGCGATCAGGGGTTGTTTTGCAAGAGGATTGTAAGGGCAGTGATTTTCAGACGAAGTGTGTTTATTGTTTCTAATTTTTTTGGGTATATTACGTGTTTAGCTGCAGCACCGATTGGTTGTCTAAGCATAGAAAGGGGTAGAACGATGTTTTTGGTAGCAATTAATGTATGGAAATATGCATTGGCGGACTGATCAATCGCCGAGATGAGAGGTGACGCACGGGAGGGGATTCAAAACAAAGACCTGAACGTGCGTGGCAGTGTTTGAATGTAAAATTCAGGTGTGCATTTTCTGACGATGACGCTTGTGGATGGATGTTGTGTTTGGCATTTGATCTCGAGTACTGTTTTGTAGATCTCGAAATAATTTAAAGCTGAGGTGGACTTTAATTTGTTTGAACACGTGATGTAAAATGGAAGAGCAGCTTATTGAAAAGCTTGAAGTAATTAACTGGTGGATGTGCTTTGGATGTTTTTGGCAGCAGAACTAATAGTTTTTATGGTTTGGTGCAATGAATATGCAGCTTGAATATGTGTGTAACAAATTATGTTCATGATCTGATTAAAATTTTGGGATCATAGCATTCTATTAGTTCAAGTGTAATTTTTCAATACTGATTTTTTCACATTATTTGTCAATCTTATGTTTTAATTCTTCTTTTCGGTTAGTTTTTTGGATTAAAATATCTAGTGCACTTGAATAATCCAAGTGTTACGGGATATTGAGTCAGCAATAGTATGTCTTAAATATGTCCTAAAACAGTGGAACAGTAAGTGACGTATAGGAGAAATTCATTTTAACTGATTATGAATATCATGTACTAATGATCCTTTGTCTCTTATAATTATTATCATCATGTGAGTTGGGATTTGAATGCCAATAAAAATAAAATCACAAGAAATAGAAGAAAATGCATAGTTAATTGAATGAAACAATAGTTAATTTGACAAGCATATTATGATCTTGGTTGTAATGTTTTTATCTTCGATTTGTTTTCATGTATTTATTTACAATACTTGCTTTGGTATGTTTTGTAAAATATAGGTCAAATAGATTTTAATTTTAAATCATTTAAAATTAATAAAATTTGGATTAGAATATCTATATATATATATATATATATATATATGTATATATAGTATAGTACCTTGTTTATTACTATTTCTTAACTATTATTTCTTCCTTATTTGATAATATTTTAAAGATTGTGGATATGCATTAATTCAGAGAAAGGATTTTTAATTCATCATTGTTAGTCTAGTCATGGATTCATCTTCTTGACTAAATCAATGAACTTTATATTGCTTTCTACTTAAGTGTGATGCTGTCGGGGTAGAAAAAATTTGCCAAAAACAAAGCATTGGGCTTATGGCTGTCATTAATTGTTCAACCAAGTCTCAAGATATAAAAAATTTATTAAGTTTATATATAAAATTGTCGATGGGGAGGTAGGCGGAGCAACAGAGAGATGGGGCGGAGTGAGGGATGTGAGGAGATGTGGTGCTTTTGGGTTGTTTGTGTGGATGTGGACATGGTGGTGCAGAATGTGGGTTGTGGGAGTGATGTTGGCAGTGGAGGGAGTGCATTGGATGGGATTGGCGGTGGACAGGGGAATTTGGAGTGAGGCATGGGCAGAGTGTGAGAGGAGCTGGCGAAGTGGTGGTGGAATGGGATCATGTGATGGTTTTGACTAGCAGATTAGCTTGGTGTTTGGCAGGTGGGATGGGATCGAGGGCGAGTTTTGTTAAGCGTGCTTTATTGTTTTAGGGGCTAGAGGGGAGATGCATGGGAGGAGATGAGGTTTTTGGATCGTGGGGGTTTTCTTGAGGGTGTGGCGAGGCACTATGCGGGTTTGTGGGAGTGGTGTTTTTTGCAGGTTGTCGTGCATTGGTGGTTGATGTGCTTGGGTACTTTTGGTTATTAATATACGACATGTTTAGAGTGCGTGTCAGTGATTGAGAAAAGTAGTTTGTGGAAAAGTCGGACCTGTGACCAGATACGATGGAGCAGTAGACGGTCTCTGCGGGATGCGGTGTGATGCCGAATGATGAGATTGATGAGTTTTGCTGTGCTGAAATGGGGGGTAGTGAATCAGGGGTGGTATGCGCAGCACAATGCAGGAGGTTAATTGTAGCAAGTTGGAGATGACGTCGTTGAGCTGGTGGAACAGGCGGTGATGCAACGGTTGTGATTGTTTGTTGGAGGGTGACGAATGAATTTGAGAGTCGGTGGAGAGCGTTGTGGTCTCCGCACAGGAGCGGTTGCATTGTTGGCGATGGCTTGGTGTTTGGATTGTGGTGTCATGTGGTTGGCGTAATACTCAGGTCGTTGGAGTGGGAAAGTGGGGCGATTGGTTTCGGAGTGATCGTGGTGCGGGGAAGGAGAGGGCAGGTGTGTTATGTTTGTCCGAGGATGTAGGGAGAACCCTTGTGGAGTTTTGGACTTCTGGATTGAATTGTGCGATGGGATTACGGGGAATTGTGATTTGTAAATGGTTATGGAGGAGGTTTGCTCGGGATTTTAGATGGTGGATATCTTGGTTTATGCGGCGTGGGGTTGTTGCGTATGAGGAGCTTGGAAGCGGAGAAGGATTAGTCTGGGGTGCTGCATCCGCTGTATGTGTGGTAAATTGTGTTTTCTTAATTTGGTCAAGGGGATTGTGAAATTTTTATGAAGCTGAAGTGCTGGTTTGAAAAATGTATGTGTTTTGTGAAACTGCAATTGCGTTTTAATGGATAGCTGGATATTGCGAAATTATGTGTGAGCTTCGGATGTGTTTGCGGAATATAATTTTTTCATACTTTTAATCGTTTGCAAAATGAGTTAACGGGAAAGAATAGTGGTGTGAGAATATTGCTTGGAGAGCGTCAACATGGATGCAGAAAATTATGTATTTTTTATAGTGCATTTATATTGTACATGGGATGACATCACAACATCCTAGATTATTTTGGAATTGTTAGTTCATACAGATCATACATATCATATGTATATTAATTTGGACATTGAGTGAAAATTAGTTTTAATTCGGACACTTCATTGACATTCATATTTTAGAAATTGGATTGTGCATAATAAGTGCATTGCACAAATGATAAAGTAGCACTATATTTACAATAATGGAATAGGATAACCATTTGCTAATGTAACATTTAAGGATACTGTTAATTATAATGTGTTAAGGATTTGTAAACAATTTTGATGTATAAAGTTTTAACTTAGTAATTAGAGAATGGCAAATTAGAGAAATGGCAAAAGAAAGAAAGCATGTGGATAATAAGAGCAACTTTTATAGCAGGTTGGTGTAATGTTGTGCAAATAGAAGAAGGTTGCTTCGTATTAGTCCATCTAGCCTATCTTATCATGGGAATTCTTTACCAAATATATTTTGATATATGTATTGCATAATGTTTCTATTTTTTTTAGTATAATATATATTTATGGAAAGTCTTCAAACTAGCCTATTGTGGTTTAGATTAATACTTTAATTTCGTATTTATAGTTTTTTCTTCTATAGATTTATTTTTTTTGTTTTATTTTAAAATTTATTTATTGAATATCTAATTATTGTGAAAGATCTTTCTTTTCTTTGTCTTAGCACAAAACAACAAAGATACTTAAGGGTTTAATTTCTTTCTAATTTTGTCACAACATTACAAGAATTTTTTAACTTCATTGCTTTGTTGCAAGATGGTAAAAACTCTATCACTTCTTTATTTTGCAACTTCTCTCTATTTTGTTAAAAGGTAGAAGAAATTGTCTTCCTTCTTCATTTTGTGACTTTCTTGTTCTAGTATAAGATCCCAAACCTTATCTTATTTTCTTGTTTGGTTTATTTTGTTGCAAAGGCACATACATCATTGCAAAGGTAGTCTCCAAAGGTAGTCCATGTGAATAATACCAAGCATCTTTTTTATGATATAGTACAATGTCAATTTATCTGTGGTGGTAGTGGTAGTGAGAATATTAATTTGCAATTG